TTTTTGGCCAACCCCACTGTGACATTTAACAATGTAATTTAATGTTAACATAAAATCCTCATTAGGAAAACAGATTCGATTAATTGGCTTCAGATCAATATCACTATAATTTCACGGAACATATTTGATTTTAGGACTAATTAACATACTGCCCTGTAGAGAGCTCAAGTTTGTTCAAACATAACTTGGAGAAATTAAGATACATTATCATTTGCTTTGGGACTCAAACTTCATTGTGAACCCATCTTATAACTAGACTTCCTCATCTTTTGGTAACTGCTGTGGACAAGAGTACATCCAAGGTTGCATCTGTCGGTCTGCCTCACTTAGTGTGCCCCATGTGCCCATGTAGTCCTTTTCCCACAGCAATTTACTGTTCCCTGCTTCTAAGGAAAAATTATAATCACAGCATCCCTACCATCAATAGTTCTTATTTTTTAACTAATCTTGGTCACATATCAATAGTGTTTTTAAATAAATTCATCAGCAAAGAACTGATTTAAATCAACTTTAAAATAATTTTAAATGAATACTATCCAAATAGGTTTTAAGATCAGAGTTATAGACATATGGCTAAGCAAAACTGGGGGGATATCCATAGAATCAAATAATCTAAAGCTTTTCCTTTAGTAAAAGGAATAATCTAGAACTGATTATTAGCTATTTTTTCCTAAAGGTCTCAGAAAGTATTCCATAACTCTCTTAGTACTTAGTCAAAGTGAAGTCCATTTATTACCTACCATTAAATAGTTAATATTTCTGTCTATACTAGGTTCTGGAACACAAGTTCCTCATCAAGGGTAGCTCAGAATAAAGCTTTCAAATGTCCACTGAATAATGTGAAAAACAGCAAAGCAGTGAATGCTTTCATGCAGATAAATTCCTACAATTTAATCAGGTATCTTTTATTATACAATCAAGACTTTAGTGATACGTGAGATCCCCACATCTGCGAAAATTTAGAGAAAATCCATTCCTGGAAACATGATTTTTAACCTCAAAACAAAGTCTAAAATTTAAATGTGTTTAATACTAAAAGAAAATATCACACTTTAAGGACATTTTAAATTTTAAGTAAAATAAAAAATAAATATATTATGGATTATGTCCTTGCTCGCTTAAATGAAAATACTTTATGTGACTGATTTTTTTTTGTTGTTGTTGTTGCTTTGTTGTTCGTTTGTTTTTTGGTGCTGGAAATCGGACCTTGTGCTTACAAGGCAGGCAGCAGAAGCACTGAGCTAAATCCACAGCCCTTATGTGATTGATTTTATATTGTTAAATAATCAACAATTATGTCATTCAGAATAATGTTGAATCACAGTAAACTAGCTCTATAATCTTTGTAAAAACTAGATAATTAATGCATAAGTGAGCAGTATTTCAAATTTTCATAAAATTTCAAAAATATTTAACCTAAATATTTATAAATTATCTGAAACTTCATTTTGTCAGCAAGAATTCAAAATAAAGCTAAACCTTAGAAGTTTTTCTACTTCTAAATCCAGTATACAGACTGAAAAAATTATTTCTAACTCAGAAAAAGATCCACTTAGAAGCTGTAATTCAGAGAAAACAAAGCTTAATAAACATGACAGGGATAAGAGTAGGAAGTAGAGAAAAAACAATGTGAGAGAAAAATCTAAATGTAAAATATTGTTCACTCATCTTACATTAGGAAACTGGCAGGGCTACAGATTTAGCTCAGTGGTTCCACCGCCTGCCTTGCAAGCACAAGGACCTGAGTTCGATCCCTAGTACAAAAAATAAAATAAAAAGAAAACTGGCTATCTAAAATTTGTCTAAAACTTTCAACTATGGGTCACTAAAGATTAATGACCAGAAACTATTAATTTCTTTTTGATCAAAAATATCATAATAATTTATTACAGAATTACATCAGCACTATACTCATTGTGAAAATTAAGCCTAAACAAATTTTGTAATATTAATTTAATAAAAATATTATCAAATAGTGAGTATTCTTGAATATACTGACTTGAATTGTAGAAGGTGACATGTCATGCCAAGTGTTAATTTCTGAAGTAAAAAATGACGTTACTATTAAGATTCCAAATTTCTTAGTATCAATAATTTATAAGCTTACTTTTAATGAATCATTATTAACAGAAGGTAAAATCACAAAGAAATCTACAAGTTATACACTGTGAATCTCACAAAGAATTATCAGGGCCGGGGATTTAGCTCAGTGGTTCGGTGGCCTGCCTCGCAAGCTCAAGGACCCGAGTTCGATACCCGGTACCAAAAAAAAAAGAATTGTCAATGACATGTAGAAAACAGCACGAATAGGGAACTTCTTCAAAAGAAAACATTTTAGAAAATAATAATGCCAATTTGCAGTAAATATGGGATACATATGTACATATAAAAAGTTTACCAGTGAAAATGAGCTGAAAACATTATGTGCTGCCATCAAAGGTGTTAAGCTCATGAAAATTTCCACTATGTTAGCAGAAACAATTCAAGAAGATTCATTTTTTTCTACTTAAAAATTGTTCCATGGGTTAGAAATACATATATATATTTATATATATATTTATTCACTCCATATATATATATATATATATGGAGTATCTTAATGGAAAGAGATGCAAGACCAGCTTCCATGAAGGATCTCAAAGACTCCAAAGTCACAGAAACTAAGAATCAACTAGTGGTTGCCAGGAGCTGGTGCTGGTGGAAGAAGATGCTCTATGACATACAGAAAGTGTCAGTTACACAAGAAAGGTTTTAGAGAATCTGCTCTACAACATTGTGTCTATAAATAATACTGCATTATACACTTAGAATCTGTTTCAAAGTTGGGTCTCATTTTAAATATTTTCATCTAAATAATAAAAAGATCATTTAAAAAATGTCATTAGCCAACACAAAAGCAAGGAACAGAGCAGCAGGCTTCACACATACCTGTGAGAACGACAGTGTGCCCTCCACCACAAGCTACTTGGATCACTTTCTCAGGAATTCCAGCCACCAGCTGAGGTGTTCTATGATTGATCAGCAGCTCTTTAGGAAGACCTAATTTCCCACTCTCAGGTTCTCCAAATGTGTAGAGCTCACCATCCACTATTGAAGGGAAAATACAGTGACTGATAAAGATATAAATATGAAAGATATTGTTTTTTGGTATATGTTTTCATGCTCTATAAAAAATTCAGGCAATGATAACTTCATAAATTTGACCTTCCATATTTTTTCTATATGGTAAGGCTTATTTTTTTACCATTTCTAGTTTTGTTAAATTTTCTTTTCCTCATGATTATTTTACTTCTACAATCTTCATAACTATCACTACTGATAACAACTCTAAAATCACTTTCACAAACATAGCAAAGCCTATCTTATATCTACTTTTAAATAAGGCAAGAGAACTATGTATTCAGCTCCCATAAGGATATTTGTCTTTCCTACTATGAGATCTCAGAAACCTAGCAATGTCTAGTTCAAACATTTAATGAATACATATTGAATGTACAGATAAATGCTTTTTATGGAACTTGTTTTAGAAAACTCACTTATTTGTGATGTATTTGAGTGAGTCTAAAGATAGCCGATTTTACTCAGATGGTAATTCCTCCAGAAAGATTCTCTAAGGAGGTCTGACAATCATTAACTTGTCCACAGTGACAATACTGACTTCCTTCTATATCCCACGTATCACATTATAGCATGACTATAAGCTTCTTTAAATCAGGAACTTACTCATTTTTATAATACTGCCACCTACTGAGTCACACTGAATAATCACTGTGCCTGTGAAATGGGATAAAAGTCCCTGGGTTATAGGGTTGCTGTTTCATAGGAACAAATAAATCAATGCGATCAGAAGTATCTAGAACACATTCAGTGCCCAGTTATTATTTGTTGCTATTACATCTTTTGTGTATGTATAGAAAAACTGTGTGCCAATATAAATTGAACAGGCCTGTAAAATCTCAAAATCAAGATCCAAATTCTGGTTCTGCAACGCAGTTTCAGCACCACCTTGGAAAAAGTTGTGTCCTAATCCTGCCTCCATATATAGACTCAGAGGCACAATCACCTCTCTCACAAAACTGTGAGATTAAGTGGAATATAGTGATACTTAAAAATGCTTTGTAGACAGCAAAACTTGATATATCTGAGAGTTGGGATATCGTAAACTAGAGATTAGTACTATGTTTTAATCAACTTGGTATATAAGAAACATCCTTTAAGATGAACTTTATGTGGTAAATTGCTAAATCGTTCTCACAGTGCCAACTTTTTAGAGTAAAATGTTTACCTATCAAAGGTTAGGAAAGATATTTCCTGTAGTCGTCAGCAAGACCTTCTTTAGAGAGAAAGGTAAATGCTTTTAATCCATATGAAGTGTTCCATTTAATTCCAAGTTCATCTTATTTACGCACAAAAATAAAATAACACTTATCATAAATAAAAAAATAGATCATCTCATCTTACATATTTAGTGTTACTTCACATGAGCCTATTTTTATCAAACCTAGATTCTTCAGACACCGACCTGGCTCTGATTTCTGCCTTCTCCAAGACTCTAACCTTAAGCACTCTGCCAGGTATATCTCTTTCCAGTCTTGAAGACTGTTCCACACAACTTTGATCCCAGTTTCAAAATGTTCAATTCATTCACATATGTCCCCTAATGGTGCTGCACCTAATTCCCTCTTACCATTTGAATCGCTGATTGAAATGCTCAGACCCAACCATTAATGCATGAAATGAAAAGACAGAAATCAGGGATACTAAAAAACTCCATGTATTTTACTTCTATTTTTAAAACAGAATATATCTATTTTTAAAAATATAATTTAGTTAAGCATTCAAACGTATTAGTAATTTACACATTTGTTGAAAGTCTTAAACATGACTTTCTCACTAATTCAGTCTGCAGTTCCATTAAAAAAAAAAAAACTGTTCTCAGGGAGGCTGAGGCAGGAGGATTCAAGCCCAGTCTAGGCAACTTAGCAAGACCATGTCTTAAAATAAAAATTAAAAAGGGCTGGAGATGTAGCTCAGTGCAAAGACCCTAGGTTCAATCCCCAATACTTAAAAAAAATTCAACTATTCTTTTTGGTCTCTCAACTCAATATACAGAGAGAAAAAGAAGTTCAGTATAGTCCTTTTCTATATAACATTTTTATCTATCATGAAATCTACATCAAGCAAAAACTCTATGCTTGAGTTTTCATGTATAAAAAGTTGCTTTAAATACAGTCACAAAATAAACTGACAAGTCATAAAATTACTGAAAATTTGTATCAGCTGATATAAATGAGTCTTCAAAAAAATGTTTAGTATAAAAATTTGTGATAGGGCCAAGATTTAGCTCAGTGGTTCTGCCAACTGCCTCACAAGCACAAGGTCCAGAGTTCAATACCCGGTACCAAAAAAAACCAAAAAAACAAAACAAGTTTGTGGTATGTACAAACCTGTGAATACACTGAAAAACATTCAAATGTAATTTTAAATAGATGAATGGTATGGTCTGTCAATTATATTTCAATAAAGCTGTTGTTTTAAAGATACAAAAAAAAAAACCCTCAATGTATGCATGTTGCTTGAGATGAACCATTCTGCTTATTTCTTTATGGCTAAAGCAGAGTTTATTAATACAACTGACTCATTCCCTCAATGGATATTTATTGATTACCAGTTTGTTCAAGACACCAGGAATACAGTAGTGAACAATTCTGTACTGACAAACTCAGGTTGGCTCAATCTTGGTATGCTGGCACACAGGGTACTGGGATTGATCAATTAGTACTTTCTAAACCTGATCTGTGCTACATGCAATAAACAGTAATTATGTAAAATAAAGATTTAGAGACACATCTAATAGAGTCCACAAAAATATTTCCTCTAGTATTTTTACTGTTAAAACAATCATCAATTAGATAAAAAGCTACAATCATATATCACATTTCAAATACCTTAACTAAGATTGCCAGTGGGCCAAGGAAAGAAACTTGAGGATGCTGAGAAAAATCCCACCAAAGGAAACCCTATCTCATACTGAGCTCTCCTTTTCCATCTAGTCTTCATCTAGTTTCCCACAAGGAAAGACAAGGACTCAATGTATTTGAAAGAGAGTATGAGAGCAGTGTAGGCCAAAGATAGAAACAAGTAGTTCCAAAGGAAAGTGGCCCATAGGTCCTGTTTTAAATACCAAAGGGGCCTAAGAAGTTTGAGAAGCAATTTTAGAAGGGTTTCTAAAGTATCAATTTTAATTTTCTAAAGATCTAGCATTCACTTAGAAAGCTAACATGTCAAGAGTTTGAAATTACAAGCTTTCATTATAGTAACAGAGAAACACTGTAAGGTAAAACAGACCCAATTCATCTCATTACATGGACAAACACAGAATATTTTACCACTTTATTATTAATTTAGCAATAATTTTGAAATGAAAACATTACAAATCCAAAATGTTTTGTCTTACTTGTTACAAAAGCCGAGTGGTAATATCCACATGCGATCCAAGAGATTGGTTTCCCAATGTTCACTTGATGAGGGACACATACATTAATTATATTATTTAAACCAATTTGTCCTTCAGAATTGTCACCCCACATGAAAAGTCTTCCATCCGCTATAAAGGAAACACAAAGAAAAAAAGGTTTTTAAAGACAGCAGGGCAATTTGTTTTTTAAAATAGAAAAACTGTGTTTTGAAAAAAAATACTAAGACATGTACACTAGCCAACTACTTGAGAATTATTTCAATTGTGTAATGTTTCCATAATAATGAAGAGAATAACCTGATTGCAAATCACTTTAGGCATATCCATTTTTTATTCTCAATAGCAAACCCAGTACGCTATTTCCTATTATCACCTTGTTCTGTTGTAATGTCTCTAAACATAAATGTTTTCCTTCTTCCAGGCACTATACCTGAACTGAGAAACAACACGTGTCACACTGGAGATCTCCAAGTCAAAAGAGCAAGTCCCAGGTCAAAAGGGAGTAACAAACATTGCTTTTGAGAACACTTTGGAAATTTTAAAAGAAAAAATAAATGCAATTCACTATTGTATTTTTTTTATAACTAAGATCTGAAAACTCAGACTCTAGCTTCTGAGAATGAAATACAGTAGCACATACAACAGCTCAAAAACGTGTTAACTTAATGTCCTTTCTGTTACATTTTCAGTGTTAGAAAAATTAGGACAGAGATTTTATAAAGGAATTACTAATATTTATTTACTTCTACTTTTCAATTTTAAAAATGTTAATCTTTGAATTTAATCATAAAGTAAAGAAATTGATAACTGAAAGGATATTGAAAACCTAACTATATGTTTGATGAAATTAAAGGACAGAGCTTCACATACGACTGTGACTTTCATGTCTAGAGAAACACTGGATGTTTACATAATGCCCTGAGTGGAACAAAGCAGCAAACCAGCAAATTGGAGAGACCAAAATAATCATAGTGTCAATATTCTTTTAAAAGCTCTGTGTACTTTTCAAAGGGAAAGTAAAGAGATACAGTGACCATTACAGACTATATCTTAACAATATATGCAAATTCAGTCAAAGTTGCAACCAACTTTCAAAACATGCAGTGAAGATAATATTTAAGAACATCTAAAGGAGTAAAAGGACAGCAGAGCTTAGAATTTATTTACCAATAAGCTCCCAAATATATATTTATATCTTACACTAAGTAAACAGTGACTTAAATTTATATTTTAAAATGTCTTCTGAAAGCACACAGCCAATGAAAGAAAATTAAACAGCAATGCTGTCTTGAGTTGGTATATTCTGGTCTGAAGAAAAGGATGTGTAAATAGCACGGTACTAGCAAAGAAATAGACCCAAGGACCAAATGGAATAGATAGATTAGAAGATACAGAAACAACTCCAAACACATTCAGTCACCTCATCTTTGACAAAGGAGCCAAACATCCGCACTGGAAGAAAGACAGTCACTACAATAAATAGTGCTGGAAAAATTGCATTTCAATTGGCCAAAGATTAAAACTAGACCTATATCTCTCACCATGCGATAAACTAAAATCAAAGTGGATTACAGATCTAAATATTAAAACAGGAACACTAAACCAGCCGGAAGAGAGGTTAGGTAGAACTCCTGAAGATAGGAAAAGATTTTATAAACAAAACCTCAGTTGCACGTGAACTAGCACAAAGAATCAACAAGTGGAAGCTGGGTGGGATGGCGCACGCCTGTGATCTCAGTACTTGGGAGGCTGAGGCAGGAGGATCGCTGTGAGTTTGAGACCTGCCTGGGCTACGCAGTGAGTTCCAGGTCAGTCTCAACTACATAGTGAGACCCCAAAAAACAAAAACAAAAAAAAAAAGCTTCTGCACAGCAAGAGAAACCACCGATAGGGTGAAGAGACAACCCACAATATGGAAAAAAAATTTTACCAGATGTTCCTCAGACAAAGGACCAATATCTAGAATGTATAAAGAACTTTAAAAACTCAGACCTCCCAAATTTAAAGATCCAATACAAAAATGGGCATCTGAAAAAACAGAAAGAAAAAAAATGGGCATCTGAAATGAACAGACATTTTTCAAAGAAGTAAGAATAGCAAATAAACCTATGAAAAAATGTTCAACATTACTGATCATTCAAGAGATGCAAATGGAAACAACACTGAGATTTCACCTCACCCCAGAAAGAATGGCTACCATCATGAAATCCACCAATAACAAATGCTGGTGGGGCTGTGGGGAAAGAGGAATCCTATTCCACTGTTGGTTAGAGTGTAGACTGGGGCAACCACTGTGGAAATCAGTATGGAGATACCTCAAAGAAATAGGATTGGAGGTCCCGTTTGACCTAGCTATTCCTCTGCTGGGTATCTTCCCAAAAGAATTAAAAGAATCTTACCAGAGCAATATATGTGCATCCATGTTCATAGTGGCATAGTTTGTAATAGCTAAAACTTGGAAACAGCCCAACTGTCCAAGGACTGGAGACTGGATAAAGAAGATGTGTGTTTTTTAAAAAAATAAAATAGAGTAGAGTACTACTCAGCCATAACGAATGATAAATTAGAGGCATTTATAGCTAAACAGATGCACATTGAGGCAAAACTCTTAAGTAAAATGAATAGGATACATATGTGTAAATACCAAATAGTGTCTCTAGTGTGAGAAACTGAAAGTGTAAATAAGGATCAAAATGTTAACAAATAATGTGAAATAGGAAGAAGAGGTGCAAAGGGAAAGGGGAAGTGGGTGGGATAGGGGAAAAGAAAGGGGAATGCAATTAATACGAGAAAAGGAAAACATGGGAGAGATGGAGGGGTAGAAGGGAGGGCAAGGGAATGGGAAAAAATAAGAACGGAGATATATCATGTAAAGATACATATCTCCAATGATGAATGTCATTACTATATACCTAAAATGTACCAATAAAATTAATTTTTAAAAAAAGAAAAGGATGTATCATAAATTAATATGAAAACAAGTCAATCCGGGCATTGGGGCACATGCCTGTAATCCCAGCACTCCAGAAGCTGAGGCAGTAGGATTGCTCTGAGTTCGCGAGCAGCCTGGGCTACCTCGTGAGGTCCAGGTCAGTTTCAACTACATAGTGAGACCATCCACACAGGAAGAAAGACAGTCACTACAATAAATAGTGCTGGAAAAATTGCATTTCAATTGGCCAAAGATTAAAATTAGACTTATATCTCTCACCATGCGATAAACTAAAATCAAAGTGGATTACAGATCTAAATATTAAAACAGGAACACTAAACCAGCCGGAAGAGAGGTTAGGTAGAACTCCTGAAGATAGGAAAAGATTTTATAAACAAAACCTCAGTTGCACGTGAACTAGCACAAAGAATCAACAAGTGGAAGCTGGGTGGGATGGCGCACGCCTGTGATCTCAGTACTTGGGAGGCTGAGGCAGGAGGATCGCTGTGAGTTTGAGACCTGCCTGGGCTACGCAGTGAGTTCCAGGTCAGTCTCAACTACATAGTGAGACCCCAAAAAACAAAAACAAAAAAAAAAAGCTTCTGCACAGCAAGAGAAACCACCGATAGGGTGAAGAGACAACCCACAATATGGAAAAAAAATTTTACCAGATGTTCCTCAGACAAAGGACCAATATCTAGAATGTATAAAGAACTTTAAAAACTCAGACCTCCCAAATTTAAAGATCCAATACAAAAATGGGCATCTGAAAAAACAGAAAGAAAAAAAATGGGCATCTGAAATGAACAGACATTTTTCAAAGAAGTAAGAATAGCAAATAAACCTATGAAAAAATGTTCAACATTACTGATCATTCAAGAGATGCAAATGGAAACAACACTGAGATTTCACCTCACCCCAGAAAGAATGGCTACCATCATGAAATCCACCAATAACAAATGCTGGTGGGGCTGTGGGGAAAGAGGAATCCTATTCCACTGTTGGTTAGAGTGTAGACTGGGGCAACCACTGTGGAAATCAGTATGGAGATACCTCAAAGAAATAGGATTGGAGGTCCCGTTTGACCTAGCTATTCCTCTGCTGGGTATCTTCCCAAAAGAATTAAAAGAATCTTACCAGAGCAATATATGTGCATCCATGTTCATAGTGGCATAGTTTGTAATAGCTAAAACTTGGAAACAGCCCAACTGTCCAAGGACTGGAGACTGGATAAAGAAGATGTGTGTTTTTTAAAAAAATAAAATAGAGTAGAGTACTACTCAGCCATAACGAATGATAAATTAGAGGCATTTATAGCTAAACAGATGCACATTGAGGCAAAACTCTTAAGTAAAATGAATAGGATACATATGTGTAAATACCAAATAGTGTCTCTAGTGTGAGAAACTGAAAGTGTAAATAAGGATCAAAATGTTAACAAATAATGTGAAATAGGAAGAAGAGGTGCAAAGGGAAAGGGGAAGTGGGTGGGATAGGGGAAAAGAAAGGGGAATGCAATTAATACGAGAAAAGGAAAACATGGGAGAGATGGAGGGGTAGAAGGGAGGGCAAGGGAATGGGAAAAAATAAGAACGGAGATATATCATGTAAAGATACATATCTCCAATGATGAATGTCATTACTATATACCTAAAATGTACCAATAAAATTAATTTTTAAAAAAAGAAAAGGATGTATCATAAATTAATATGAAAACAAGTCAATCCGGGCATTGGGGCACATGCCTGTAATCCCAGCACTCCAGAAGCTGAGGCAGTAGGATTGCTCTGAGTTCGCGAGCAGCCTGGGCTACCTCGTGAGGTCCAGGTCAGTTTCAACTACATAGTGAGACCATCCACACAGGAAGAAAGACAGTCACTACAATAAATAGTGCTGGAAAAATTGCATTTCAATTGGCCAAAGATTAAAATTAGACTTATATCTCTCACCATGCGATAAACTAAAATCAAAGTGGATTACAGATCTAAATATTAAAACAGGAACATTAAACCAGCCGGAAGAGAGGTTAGGTAGAACTCCTGAAGATAGGAAAAGATTTTATGAACAAAACCTCAGTTGCACGTGAACTAGCACAGAGAATCAACAAGTGGAAGCTGGATGGGGTGGCGCACGCCTGTGATCCCAGCACTTGGGAGGCTGAGGCAGGAGGATCACTTTGAGTTTGAGACCTGCCTGAGCTACGTAGTGAGTTCCAGGTCAGTCTCAACTACATAGTGAGACCCTGTCTCAAAAACAAAAAAAAAAAAAAAAGCCAACAAAATGAAAGCAACTCTTACCAGATAGTGCAGCTGAAGTATTAGATCCAGCAGACAGCTGTTTAATGTTATGCTGGGATGTAAAAAAGCTAATACGATGAAAAGTGTTTCTCTCTTCAGTGTCACCAAGTCCCAATTGCCCTTCATTATTTCCTCCAGCTGCATATACATTGCCTTGTACTGTACAAGCAAAAGAAACATTAATATACTACAGTTACCTCCTTTAGGAAATAAATCAGTACATACCATCTTTCTTCTATTAACAGTGAAGAAAAGTATGAAGAAAGGCAAAGAATGAGGAGGAGCCATGTCAGACAGAACAGGGTGAAAATGAAAGTTGCTGCAAGGAGGTGGGGTAGGAAGTGCAAACAAGGACTTCTCAAGGGTCAGGAACTATTAACTACTCAGCAGCATTTGTTGAAAATATTACCCTTTTCTCCAACGAATTACTTTAGCTTCTTTGTCAAAAATCAGCTGGGCATGTATATGTAGGGTGATTTCTAGACTCTATCCTGTTGCATTAATGTTTTATTATCTTTTGCCAATACCATACTATCTTAATTATTTTACATGTCTTGAAATTAGTATCAGTCTCCCAATGTTGTTCTTTCTCTAAACTGTTTTTGCTATTCTATGTCCTCTGACTTTCCATAGAAATTTTAGAATTACTTTATGAATTTCTACACATAGACACATAGCCTGATTGGATATTTATTGTAAGTGAAAGGACACACATAGCTTTTCGCATGGCTTCCAGTCATTCTCAGCAAAGAGGGAAGAGCAATAGGAGTGATCAGTATGAAAGACTTAATGGTAATTATTAACACTAGTTAAGAAGTATGAAGTCTAAAATTGTTTCATGTAGTATAATAAAACTAAATACAAAAATAGATTTATAAGTAGAGACCTAAAATTTTCAGTTTATGTAGTTGTAAACTGTCAAAGTGCACGTCAAATATTCAATGTATTAGGCAAATAAACACTATTTTATTTTTTCCATATAGTATAAAGATGCACGTTAAGACAAACATATGTAAGATAAAAGTGTCTCATCATTATGCATAGGACAAGTACAATAAAGACATTATAAATGGTAAACTGAAAAACAACAAAGAAAAAGAGTAGGAGTAACCAGCCCTTGAGATGTGCCCACAGGTAAATCGATACTGTCTCTGGATATAACCTAAAAAAAGTTTTCTTTCAGTCATTTAAGATTCATCTGCGTATTTATAAAGGCATACACACACACACACACACACACACACACACACACACACACACACATAATATTTACATTTTAAAAACCCTAATCTAACTATTGCCAAGGTACCATTTTTATTAACTTTACAAAGCCATAAATGTTACTGGAATAAGACATCAGTTTTCGATGCCAGGCAGGAAGTCATATAGGTTGAAACCATACCTGTTAAAACTAGGGTGTGGTTCCTTCCACAGGCAGCAAATTGCACTTTTTCAGGTTTAAGAGCTAAAATTAAAATAATATGACAAATTAGGGGAAAGAAAATAAGGGAAAAGAAAAAAATATGAGGAAATGAAAAAACGGAAATAAAGTTATTGTAAATAGGGAAGGGATAAAAAACAAAACAAAAACTTAGCCGGGGATTTAGCTCAGTGGTTCAGTGGCCTGCCTTGCAAGCGCAAGGACCCGAGTTCAATCCCCGGTACAAAAAAAAAAAAGGAAGGGAGGAGGGGGTAAAGGGAGGGCAGGGGTATGGGGAAAAAAAGGAGAAACAAGACCTGTCCTGTAAAGGTACAAGAGCCCAATGATGAATGTAACTGTACTGTAAACCTAAAATGTACCAATAAACTCAATGAGAAAAAAAATAACATGACAAAGTTTCTTATGGATATGAAAATGGTAAATAATCCAGGTAAAATGGTAATTAAGTTATAAAACTGAGCTTTATTTATGTATCATGGTGCTGGTAATTGAACTCAGGAATCTGAATAGCTAAGCCTGCACCTATACTCAAACCTGAAACTGGGGCTTGTCTGACTCCAAAGTTGATGTTCTTAACTACTAAACCAAAGGTTATCAGGACTTGTGCATTATAATAAGCAATGAAGCTTTGGAAAGAGTGAGTCATTGAGTGTGGGATAGAACCTAGACATCTGTGTATTTTTAGAATCTCATCAGGTAATATGTGCTGAGATCCACTGCATCCTGTAGTACTGCCTCCTCACCAATGTGATCCTTTACCTAACATGCCATCACCATTATGAAGGTCACCATCTACCACACTTAATTAAAAATTTTAAGTCTAACAGTCATAAGCATACACGTATGTTAAAATTGTTCATTCATCTACACATTCAAAAAATATTTCTAGAGTATTTCCTAAGTAGCATAGCATTTGTACACAGGACTAAAATAGAGCCCCTGTTCTCAAGGATCAGATAGTATAGATAGACTATCCTGTTACCCTGCCTATTAAAGAAGATATGTGAAAATAAGGACCATGATCAACCTGAGTACCTACAAATATTTGGCAATTAGTGCTCAATAAATACTTTTTGACCATGTGGACTACCCCAAAAATCCTACAACACACTTATAAATAGTATAGATGATAAATTCACACTGAAATTTTGAGATGAAATTTAAAATTTGACCAAACAAATAGTATATACTGTTGTTGTCATATCCCAAGGCATTGCCATAGCCTTCAAATTTAGTTGATGTTGAGTTGTTTAGTTGATACAGGCTATACCCAAACGGTTTGCATTGAACAGTGAGAAAATTTTGTAGGGGTATTATACATCCCAGATATTCTGGGACAGAGGAGCTGATTTCAAATATATTCTCCTGTTACTCTTATACACTAGTACTAATCACCACTTAGTCTTGATGTTTGTTCTGTTCATCTACTCACTATATACTGCAGGATAAAGTATGCTTTATAAAACCAGAAACTGTATAAAACTATGACATAAATGAGATCAATCTCAAATTCTACAATATTATAACGTCTATTTTCTATATACACAATAACAATAATTAAAGTGGTTTTATAAATAGGCAAAAAAAAAGATATTCAAATGCAATACTGTAGAATCAATACTTCCTTTGGTGGTCCACAGGATTAAAGTCAGCGTGACTTTTTAGATCATATAAAAGTAGATCTGAATTTCATGTAAAGAATAAATGCTACTAGCCAGGCATGGTGGCCCACGCCTAAAATCCCAGCCCTCAGAGGCTGAGGCAGGAGGATCACTGTGAGTTCGAGACCAGCCTGGGCTACATAGTGATTTCCTGGTTAGTCTCAACTACATAGTGAGACCCTGTCTCAAAAACAAAATAGCTCAGCGGTTTGGCGGCCTTCCTTGAAAGTGCAAGGACCCAAGTTCAATCCCTGGTACCAAAAAAAAAAAAAAAAAAAAAAAACCCAAAAAACAAAAAAAGAATACATGCTACTAATGTCCAAATAAATCTTACAAAAAAAAGACTTTATTATTTATGACATTAAACTATATAATCAGAATAAAAGTACTTTATGCAGTTTGTTAAGTATTTAAAGTGATAAAGGGCCCCAAACCTTTGACACACGTTGGCTTGTTGACAGTTGATTTTGATCCTAATCCTAACTGACCCCAGTTGTTGCTGCCAAACATGTAAAGTTTATTATTTCCTAATGGGAAGAAAAAAATAACAAATTGAAGCATTCATCACATAAACAGCATGAAATAAAGTCATCATAATGCAATAAAAAAGCTGTATTTTTTTTAAAGTGATTTCTTCTTTACATTCAAACAGGTTACCTTATACATCTACATATGGCTAGATTCTGAGGTGTAAAAAGTGCTGGGTTTATACAATAACACTTTTTATTATAATGAAATAGATTCATTCCAAGAAAGGTGCATATATAGAAAATTATACTTAAATATGCTAAGGTAATTTAAAATTGAAGAGTCTCTTGAATTAATTTGTGAAGAATTCTCTGCTACAGTAAAAGAAACTATCTTCAACATACACATAAAACAGCACATTTATAACGCTTCAGATTCTGTATTATTGACCTCATTTAGGATAGTAAATACTAACCTGTAACAACAGCAGTATGTTCATCTCCACATGAAAGATACATAGGTATGTCATTCTTAAACCAGAATTTGCTAGGCATATTTTCAGCAAATTTGGTTTTCCCAAATGTAAACACAGCACCTGAATCTGCAAATTCAAGACAGTTTCTATTTTAGAACTTTTACTATGCTGTTATTAAAACGTTTTCAGCAACTTAGCCATCATAATGGTGAGTAGGTAGTCAAATATAACTTTCAACATTTTCAATAGCAGATTAACCAAATCTTCAACACAAAAGCAATTCACTTTTCCTGATACTGTATTTCTCCTGAGAATCAGAAATTCAGCTCAGGAATTCCGTATAAAATGAAATAATTCTCTTAATAGAACCACTCAAGAAGCTTCTCACTCTTACCTTACTCATGTTGTATAGTTACTTTCCCCTCTTTATAAGTTCTGTAAGGGAAAGGATGGTATACAGTATTTTGTTCCCCCCAAACACCATCACAAAGTGCCAGTTACGGGAAATTAGAGGAGAGGTATGTTGTAATTTAATATTCTTAAATTATGTCGTTACTTGAGCTGAGTAGTAGAAACGTTTATCATGCAGTACCACTTTGAAGATAGCAAAAACCAAACTTAAGTACAGTTCTCAGTATTTAAACACACACACACACACACACACACACACACACACACACACATCAAATAGGAAACCAGATACAGCTTTGAAGGAAATCCCAAGGATGATCACACATAAACTACTTGGTACCAGAAAGGAAAACATAGTGAATACAAACAAGAAATATCAATGTACCCCCCCAAATCAAATGTACAAGACGCTAGACACTATGAAGAACCTTTTGAGAACCACCGTGAGGCATTGCAATTCAATCAATAATGGAGAGTTGGGAAGCAGGCTCTACAACAGGCTCAGGGTTTCCCCAGAATGAATCATTTTAACTGTTTTGTCCTGGCTCCCCAGGAATCCTCTGATACCCCCATCTCAAGCTCTGCTCTGGCCCACTGGTATGTACCGTACTTTATCTCTAAGGTGTGAAATCCAGGCGGCAGGAATCTGTGTTTTAGTCAGAAACAGGGCAGAAAACGCAATACATATTTTTATAAATGTGTAAGGCTGCTCTAACCCAACGTTTTTTCAAACTGTTGGTCGCGACAATTTAGCGGGTCACGGCGAACACTTAACCGAATGTATTATAGAAATGCTTTGAGCGCATCCCAAATGGTAACAAATATCGCTTGAAACATCTATCTCTGTTAACAGTTCTCCAGCGCTTATCAGGTAACCACGTCAAATGTATTTCAAACTGTAGAGCTCAGGGGAAAAGTCTTTAAAAAAAAAAACCGTTAAAAATCTCCCTTTTTTCCTTTCTCCAACTCGTTTCTCCCCCTTCCTTTTTCTCACACTCCCCGCTCACCCACCCCGCGACTGGGTCCCGGGGACCTCCAAAGTGCTCGAGTCTGAAGTAGGTACTTTGGGAAGTTTACACCGAGGTAAGAAGTGTCCCTGACTTCGAGAAACTGGCCGAAACCCTAAGACGGGACTCCCTTTCCCGCTGTCGCCCGTCAGCCGGCTCCCGACTTCCCCCCTTAGTTACCGGCGGAGGCGCGGCCCCAGCGACCGCCTCAGTCCTG